ATCTTTATTCAGTGCAATTCTTGAGGTTAACTCTGTATTTACCTCTGGTTAGCTTGCCCTCGTATCTTCCTACTTGCACATGCTTCTTGTGTTCATGTTGGATAATGAAAATGCTTACTTGCCCAAGGCCCAGTTTGTGGTATATGACATTGTGCGGGCTGCTTTGATTCTTATCGGGTGATGGTTTTTGTTTTAATAGGGTTCAGATCCACCGCCACCAAGAATAACATCAAATGTGAAGCATAATTTGCGGTTCTTGAGATCGTGGAAGGTTACTTGTGAACTTTTAAGTGTTGGTAATAGAATTTCTTGTCTCCATACAGTAATTACCTGTTTGAATTAATTCATAGGACTTTCAAAATAGAAAATCGAAAACACCAAGGCCTTCTACTAGTTACCGCAGAAAGAGAACAGAGAAGGATGAAATTCCCGAGGATGTCGAGCTCTATCACGATCCTACTTTGACCCTTTCTTAGTAAGGTTTTCTACTTGTTCTTTGATTAAACATGTTTTTCCATTTTGTCTGCCTGAACTTTGGTGCGTATTTTCTTTAACAGCCCAAATCAGAGTATGGAGACTGCAACACCTGTATTCCTTGTTGACGGTTATAACGTTTGTGGCTATTGGGCAAAGCTGAAGAAGCATTTCATGAATGGAAGACTTGATATTGCTCGCCAGAAGCTTGTAAATGAACTGATATCATTCAGTATGTTAAGAGGTTTGTGCTTTAGAATAGTTTAGTAGTATAATGTGTAGCAATGTATTGATCTCACTGTAAAGATGCTAACAAAGAGATAGATAGCATCTCATTCTTGTTCAATGGTGCAGCTTACTGGGTCATGCGTTTTGCTCTACTGGATTCTTTGTCATTCAATGACATTCTTTTATTTCTTTTCGTACCCGACTGCTGGTTTTGTTCTCCTGTAGGCCCTTCCACTCTAGAAGAAGTCAACAAGGTTAATTTAGTTAGTCATCTAATATTTTGATGGAAATTTAACATTTTTCAGAAAATTACCCATTTTCCAAAACCAGGAGTGTTTTCAAAGCATTTAAATTTTGAAATTCATGACAGTCAAGAAGTATGGTATTATTGTAGTCTGGATGTGCGAAAACTATGTTAAATATAGCTAAATTGAGAGAAAAATCTGCATGTACTAGCTAAATTGTAGCTTTCTTGAATATGGCAGACATGGATCAATAATGTTTTGATTAGTGACCAAAATACTCCAGTCCCCAGCACTTATGGTGGTTAGTTGCATACGGAGCTTGTTGTAGTTTGATATATCTTATATTTGGCATTGTTTCACACTTACTTACATGCGCTATTCCATTTTCAGATGTGAAAGTGGTGGTTGTATTTGATGCTATGAAGTCTGGCCTACCAACACATAAAGAAAATTTTTTTGGGTACTCGTTGTGGACCTAAATTGTTGCATCGCTAGCTTACAGATTGTTTTTTCTGCTGCTATCAATGGTGCTATACATTTTTTTTTTTTTTTTTTTTTTTTTTTTTTTTTGTGCTTTAGTGTTTATAAAACATGCAATCTTACTTTCATATTTCATGATTTTTTACCTTCAATGTTACGTGATGGCTTCCTTTCAACCGAGTAACTGAGACTTATTGTCAATGTGATGTAAAATTATGATACTTTTTTAATAAACTACCAGTCTTTTCATTCTTTTCCATATTCTCATGAATCTTTTATCGATTAGGGTTTAAGAGAGCAAATTTGTATTTATATTTCCTCTGTTTCAGAAGACTGTTTCCAGAAATTTGGACACATATTAACAAGTCAAGATAACTCCAAATTTTGGCTTTAGGTTATTCCAATATTATCATTGACTTTTAAGATGGACATGCAAGAATTGTCTTATTTGATTTACTAGTAAATGGTTTCTGCTTCTAACATGTCTATGTTCTTTTATTGTATATATGTTAATGTGAACATTATGGTTTTGTAGAATTGATATAGTTTATTCAAGCGAAACTTGTGCTGATGGATGGATTGAGAAAGAGGTGAGAGAAGCTATTGAATCATACTCAACTTCTGAACTCTGATTTTTATTATGGAGAATACAAATTGAAGTCATCGATACAGTCAGTAGTTACTTTGTGATGCTATAAGCTTCATATCCTCATTACTTACCTGATGGATGTTCACTAGGTTGTCACACCTTTATGGTTGCTTTATCATACATATTTTTCGTAAAATGGGTCGCTTGATACTTGAGAAATTTTGCTTTTCAATTGTCAATATATAGTTAGGAGTTTGATTATAAAGGGGGATACTGCATATATTCTCTGTTGAAATATCATTTACGTGTTTTATCTGTTCATAAGTTGGTTTTGTCTCTATAATTAGGTTGTAGCCTTGAAGGAGGATGGATGTCCAGAAGTTTGGGTCGTAACATCCGATCATTCTCAACAAGATGCAGTTTATGGATCAGTATGTATATCTTTGTGGTTTTCAATTTCTGTTTTTCATTTTAGTAATTGAGTTTGCTACATATTATATTTTTAATTTTTCCTTAGCTTTAACTCAAAGCATCCCACATTAAAGCCCCACACGAAGACAACTGCCCTCTTTCTAAAGTGGTGTTTGCCTGTAGCCTGTAACTACTGCATTCCCATTCACAATTAACTTTCTGTGAACATAAACCAAAAACTTGATTCATGGGTTATTCGTCTTGACTAAGATGATCTTCGCTAATAAATTAATAGCTTTCTATGTTGTGATGGTTCTTTTTTCAGGGAGCTTTCGTGTGGAGTTCAAAGGCATTGGTCTCTGAGGTAAATGCTATTAACAAAGCTATGCTAGGAATTTAGGCCTCCCGAACATTTATAGGTGTTATCACTGGGAAGTGTATACTTATTTATTTCCCTGTGGAAATCTGATTTATAAGTAAATTTGTCCTAGGAATTGTAAAATCTGTTGCCTCCATTTTTCTGATAATAGACTATAATGCAGATCAAAGCTTCACAAAAGGAGGCAGAGCAGATGGAGCGGGAAGATAGGTATGCAAAATTGTATAAAATCTTTATCAACTTCTTTTTTGTTTTGCTTTGGTCCTTTCTCCTTCTAAGTGGTAAATTCATTTAAAAACCTTGTTCCGAGTTTTTCTTTTCCAATAAGCAGCAGCGCGGTATTTACGCATTTACTTGAGGTGCATGGTTTTCCTTTAGTATTAGATTCGAGCCTTGCCAGATACGCAAAACATGGCCTGAATGTGCTCAATTCCAAAATCTGCTTGTTTTTGCACTGTAGTCACTAATTAGCAATTTTTCTTAAAGACGTTGGGACGGTTGACTAGTTGAAGACGAGGCGGCGCCTAAAAATATTATTATATTTATTTATCATCATACATAATTCTCAAGACACATTATATAAAATATACTATTTAATATGGTCAAATACAAAGATTGTCCAAAAGATAATACATTCGCCACTTGTGAATTAATTTTAACATGATTATACTTTTTTTTCCTAAAAAAACTATATAATTAATATATATTTCATGTATAAAATCAAAATCTTATTTATTATATTTTGAAAATGAAATAAAAAATGCTATATATAAATACATGGGTGCCTAGGTCATATAGGAATGACTAACTTACCAGTTTGGATTGCAAAAAAATTAAACAGGCGATTTAGTGATCTCTTTTTCCCCCACTTCAAGTCTCCAACTCTAAAATCTAACCATTATCAGTCTCTCCTTCCCGCCCGCCTCTTGCTTGGAGCTCTATGCCCTAAATCCAATGAGTTCATCATGGGAAAATATAGTTTTTTTTTTCTTTTTTTTAATTATTATTATTTCTCAATTGTATAAAATTATTAGTATTTCTCTATTGTATAAAAAGAGTAGCAGAATGTTTTGTAATTTGAAAATAGATGTTTCTTGGTTCTGAATGAATTTATGCAGATTTTGAACACTTGAAGTTACCAGATGTGAAAAGCTCATTTCCCATTTTCTTGAATCTATGAATTATGAAATAATTTGCTTTGAGAAAACAAATCCAATCAGTTCTCGACATGTGTAGCTGAAATTAAGTTTAAAAAAAACGTAAGCCTGTCTGAGAGCTAGCACTGGAGGGGGCCACAGACCTGAGATTTTCCGGTCCATTCAAGAATGTGGCAGATCCACATTGGCGCATTTTTGGCCAGCCTGTTTGACAGTGCTACTAATAATTGGAAGTAGAATAACTTAATTCGATTAGTTTTCGTGCGGAAAATCTTATCAAACGAAGATACATCAACACTGAATATACTTGAAACTTTCATGCACAATGTTACAAGTTGGGGTAGCTTGTGGATTGGTGGTCGATAATGCACAATTATTTATTGAAGATCATAATTGTCACCAAGCCTTTGCCTGATGTAATGAATTGTGTTTCAATTTTTTGTACTTGAGGCCGTTAGGCTGCTTATTAATAGTATTTGCGTTATTAGTAATTTTAGTGACGTGTAACATTTCTGTGCAGATCAACTTCAATGGGGGGTAAACTGTTGAAGCACAATCTCGATCCAAAAGTAGTTGATGCTCTTAGGGATCTCAGAGATAAGCTATCTCGAAAACCCTGATTTCAAATTTTCTCAAAAGTTTAACCTTGACTTTAGACTATCTACCAGCAAATGGGTACCGACGTTAACTTATTGATGGTTTTCCATATCAAATGCAATCCCATGACGAGCCCGCCCCAAGCCGAAAATGAATTATTATGAGGTTTTGCTTTTAATTGCTTGGAAGTTTCTCCATTGTTGTAGTTGAAACTTGGGAGTTTCATTGTCCCCATCGCCCTATATATTAATACAAATGCAAAGTTTCTCGAACCTATGCGTCTACTTCTGGTGCTTCACAATTCTATATGTCGAATTATGGTATTTCATAATTGTGTGTGTCAATTTTTGGTGGTTCAATGTAGTCCATGAAGATGTGGACTAAATTGTAAATATGTTTTAAAAGTTAACAATTTTTTTTTTTTTTTTGTTATCAATTTTTTATATATGATATTCAATTATTTTTTGATACGACGTTCATATTGCATATATAAAATATATGGCAGCCATTAATGTGGGTCTTGTCTAGCAGTATTCTACATCTGCATTACGACATTTTCATTGTGCATACTCACAATATTGTGCAATATACTTAATATTAATGTGCAATTTACTTATCGTTAATGTGCAATTATTAAAGTTTTGATAAATTATAAATTTGATCCATGAACTCAATTGTAATATATTAAATTTATGAAACTGCAATTAGGTCCATGTAACTTATCAAATTTCCACAAAAAATACCCTGCCCCAAATCAATTCTTGTCGGCGCGTTCGAGTCGCACAATCTCTGTCCTTGCCGCTGCCCGATCGTCCTGAGCCCTACAAAGACCTCACACGAGCTTCCCGGCCGTTTGTTGCGAGTTGCCAAGCCGTTCTCAGCCTCCGTCTTTGCTACCAATGAGCTATCCGGCAGTTCATCGCGAGGCAGATGAACAAGAACCAGGCGATGGTGCACCCTGTGGAGGCGTCGCTGCTGCAGATGGAGGGTGCGGGAACATACCATTATACGTCTCCACCTATATCGGTCTCATTAAGTCCATGTGAAGGAGTTCTAGAACTTGTTTGGTTGTGATATGCTGCAATGCAAATTGGAACATAAAATAGTAAAAAACAATTTTTTCAACATTTAGGACTAAATTTTTAACACGGTCAATCTTATGTGACTAAATTTGCAATTCTCATTTTTCAAACTAACGACCAATGGCCACATGACTCGTATGTGACACCCCCATTAACGTTGACGGCTTTGTGATTATTTTCGCAACGAACAAAAAAAAATTAAGGACTAAATTTACACTGAATATGACTAATTTTGCAACGGGCTCAATCCTGCAGGACCAAATTTGCAATTACCTCTAAAACCATGCTATACTCCCATAAATTAATTAATTCGCAGGAAAACTCACTGTATTAAAGAGACATGCTATATAGTTAACAATTTGTAGCCAACAAAATGATGATGTGTGCAAAATAATATTGATTTATTTTCTTTAAAAAAAAAAACAAAAAATGAACTGGACAAAAAAGAAAGAAAAAAAAATCAAGTGGACCAAAATAGAAATCCCGTATTCACTGAATACGTTTTCTTTTATAACCCGTATTAAGCAAATACGGTTTTCTTTATAAAACGTATTCAGCGAATACGTTTTTCGTAAACAAAAATTATTAAAGTTAATTATCGTAATCAACGTAATTAACCTATATGAAAACGTATTTGCTGAATACGTTTTATATTCAAAAAAATGAATACGTATTAAATAAATACGTTTTTATATTAAAATGAATTTAATATTAATTTTTTAATGGTAAAACGTATTTACGAAATACGTTTTATAAATAAAATCATTTATTCATTTCGCGAAAATAATTTTTTTGGGATAAAAAAGTTTTAGAATATAAAACGTATTAGCTAAATACGTTTTATCTTGTAATTTTGCCCCAAATTGACTTTCATTGCCCTAATTTTAATTTCAAAATAAAACGTATTTACGAAATACGTTTTTCGTATTAAAAAAATAGAAAACGTATTAATCAAATACGTTTTTATACAAAATCCTGTTCACTATCAAATACACCTGTTTACAACCAAAAAATACACTTGTTCACAACAAAAAAATATACCTGCTCACAACCAAATCCATCATACCATAATTTGCCGAACAAAAAATTGAAACACAATAATTTGCCGAACAAACAATATATACAAAACGATATAATTCGGTTCATACAGACAATCCAACAATTCAAAATAAACAAAAAATCTACAAATTCAACACAACTAACTAGGAAGGAGTGTATGGTTGTGTAGGTTTGCGCGGTCTGGACCTCCTCCGAGTATATACCACGTGAGAAGAAGACGAAGGTTGAGGTGTGAGAAGCGTGTCAGTTTGAAAAGCCTGCTCATCCTCCTCTTCTTCATCTGAGTAATTCAATTGAAAAAAGAAATTATAAATTGAACTATAAAAAAAAAAATGCTAATTTAAAAATCTCACCTTGTTGAGGCTCGGGCTGCTCAGGTTGGAGGTGCTGGGCGGACGGCTGAGCGCNA